AGCCACTGTGCGCCGTGACTTCTAGTTGGTGACGTCACCGTCTAGCAAGCCTCCCACTGACCCCGCGGAGGGCCTCTGTCCTCAGGCAAGGGGACACGTGAATCTCCACTAAGAGGGTGGCTGCCCTGGCTGCCCGAGGGCGGCTCCTTGGGACCTGACTCTTCAGGGACCTGCCGCGAGGCACAGGTCGATACTAATCATTACTAATGACGCGGGGTGCAGGCCCGGGAGCTTGCTCAGTGCTCACCACGGCAGCAGGACCCAGCGGGGATTCAGTGCACACCGCCGGGCCCTGGGCAGAGTGCTGGGGAGGGACACCGAGGTGAGGAAGACGCCCAGCCCTGGCGTAGTCAGCACCTGGATGCCCCCATCAGTGTCTATCCTCAAAGTGTGGCCACCTCTGAGCATGTTCTAGAAGTTTCCTTCTCTCCTCTCCCCCGCCGTCTTCCTCCTGTGTTATTTCTGAGGCTTGATTTTGCTTTATCGTCATGGCCCTGTATTCTCTCTCTAAGGCGAGAGAGAGTACTGCTCTCGCCTTTTGCGACATGTGTTTGTACAAACAGCTTCATGTCGCAGGTGGCCTCAAGTGAGATGAGGCGGAAGCTGGGAGCGAGGGCAGGCACCTCACCCTCCACCAGGAGGCAGCGCAGCCCAGCAAGAGCGGCTGGGAGCCGCAGGACCCGGCCCTGATGAGCAGCGGGCGCCCCCCAGGGGTGCTCCAGGTCCCCCAGCTCCTGTCTTGCAGGCTGGAACACGGAAGGGCCCCTCCAGGGGCCACTCGGGTGCACAGGAGGAAGGGTGACCTGCCCTGACCACTCCCACGCCCCGAGGGTCCAACACGGTGGCCTGTGCCCAGAGCCTGGCCCTGTGCCCTGGAGCCCCCTCCTGGCACCTGGTGGTGGAGCCCAGGGCTGCGCTGAACGTCGGGTGCACCCAGGTCGCCACAGCGTCGTCGGGAGACCCTGGGGGCAGAAGACATCCCTCAGCAGCCAGCACTGGGTGGGCCTGGGTTGGGAGGAGACGTGGCCGAGGGGTTCAGTGGGCCCACGGGTGGCAGGCCACGGGGACAGACTGCCAGAGCGAGGGTCCTGGGAGCTTCCAGGAATCGGGGTCCCCGTGGGAGCCTGGCACTCAGTTGACATTCCACCTGACGGTTTTCTCCAGGAGATCAGTGCTGACTGAGGTGCAGGTGGCCAAGTCCTCTCCGTTCCGCAGGCTCTCTCTTCACGTTCTTGACTGTTTCCTTTGCTGTGAAGAAGCGTTTCAGGGTGACACCCTCCCATTTGTTGATCTGGGTTGTCCTTGGGCAGTGGGTGTCTTGCGGTCTCTATTCCTTGGCTGTCACGAGGTGAGACCACAGGCTCACCACAGGCTCCAAGGCCACGCGGCCAAGCAGTCATGGACTGAGACCTCTGAAACCCCAAGCTAAAGTCAACCTTTACGCTTTATCAGTTGATGGTCTCGGGCGTCTTGTCACAGGATGGAGAGCTGACTGTCACAAGGCAAACCCTGTGAGAGCGGGAACACGCAGGTCGGGAAGTGAGCTGAGCCGAGCCACACAGAGCTTGTTGGCCCTGGGCAACCAGCTCTTCCTCGGGCTGCGCCCGAAGCCAGCAGTGCCCCCAGTGTCACGTTAACAAGCAGCAGATCCCTTCCCCGCCTCACTAGTTGCCTCCCTGGGTTGGCTTTTCTGACATCACTAAAAGCAAAATGGCTCAGTCACCTGTGGCTGCCATCAAGCTGTGTAGCAGACCACCCACAGCTCTGCGGCTTCGCGTGAGCTTGGAGACTGGATCGCGGTGCAGCTGGGCGCACACACAGGGGACGCTGGGCAAGCAGGTGGCCCCTTGAAGCCACCGTGGCAAAGCTTTGTGTCACTCTTGGTGCTTTCCCTGTGGATGCTCCGAGCACCCAGAGGGAGTGTTTGAAGGTGGCTTGTGACCTGCTGCAGGGTCGGGCTGCGTCTGCAATCGCCACGGAGGGTCAGGGTGGCGGGCGAAGCGTGCGCGGGAGAGCAGCGGGTTTTCCAGACTGTCCTCCGGTTGGAGCCTGTGTGACATGTCCTCGGGATGAGATTCAGTGACAATTTCAGCAGCAGGCCTCTTTCTCAGAGCCTCATCTCAGTGGGTCTGTGGGGCCTGGAGTCCTTTCTATGGTGGTGATCAGAGATGGGTGACAGGCTCGTTCCTCTGTTATTCCTTCCTTTGTCACCTGGGCAAGTGCGTCCTGTGGCTACTGTCCACCTGCTGCCGGACAGCAGAGCCCCTCTGCGGAGCCCAGTCTGGACCCTACAACTGTGAGTAAATACATTGCTGTTCGAATCTACTCAGACTCCGGTGGTTTGTTTTCCAACAATAAATATTTGAGCGGGCGCCTGTAATCCCAGTGGCTCAGGAGGCTGAGGCAGGAGGATCGTGACTTCAGAGGCAGCCTCAGCAATGGCGAGGCTCCAAGCAGCTGAGTGAGACCCTGTATCTAACTAAAATACAAAATAGGGCTGGGGATGGGGCTCAGTGGCTGAGTGCCCCTGAGTTCAATCTCTGGCACCCCCCATCCCCCAAATAAATAAATAAATGTTTGAGAAACTAAGTTTTTTTTTTTCTTTTTGATTTAAGGGGATCTATTTTCTGCTCTGAGTCTGAGAATTCACTAGAAGATCAAGTGGGGGACCAAGGGTGCTGGCCAGGGCTGGCCCTGGGCAGGGCCGTCCTCCTCCCTGGCCTTTAGCCAGAGGCCAGTGGGTGCTTCCTGACTTGGGGTGACAGGAGGGGCTCCTGGCTGGCCTCAGGGATGGACTCTCAGGACTCAGGGTTTCCCTGCCCACCACTCACTCAGACCTGGCCAGGAATGGCCCTTCAGCATGGACCTGCTGTCCCACTGGCCTGGTGCCACCAGGTGAGGTTTCACAGGTCGCTAAGCAGGCCCTGTCCTTGTGGGCTAGGAGCACTGAAACGCCAGGGGCCATCTTTAGAGACAGGGGACTCAGTGGGAGGAGAATGTGCACCCCCAGGGCAGGGCCTCCCAGCGCCTGCACACCTACCTTCTGACCGGGAGAAGGCCTTCAAGCCAGCGCTTGCTTCCTGGCTCTGCTAACGTTGCGCCAGCCCTCACATCACCGTTCTGAGCCAGTGCTTACCTGTACTCCCTGACTACTGACCTGGCACCCTGCCGGGCCTTGTCAGGAGCTTGGATGGTCTCGGAACATGAGCACCACCTCGGGCCCCCTCCTCTCCCTGGCCTCTTCCCCAGCTTCCTCCCCCACCCTGCGCACAGCTGCGGAGGGAGGGAGGCCCAGCTTGTGAAGTGGGGCACACCCACTAGGCCTCGCACACACCTAGGGCGTCGGTGTCTATGCCTCACCTTCCACATCTGTGCATTTAGCCCAGAGTTTGGCACAAAATAGGCAACTAATAAGTAATGCCCGCAAATACTGGCGACCTAAAGGACATGGCTCACCATCGCCCCCTTCTGGCTGAATAGAGGTGTCCACTCGTTTCCTTTATCAGGTGGAATTGGCCCCTCCTCCCCTGCGCCCCAAGCCTGCGCCCCAGGGAGTCAGAGCTTTGCCTGGTTAAAGTGCCTGGCACCCCATGAGTGCTCGGGAGACGGGAGTCCCTGTTCAGGCCACCAACCTGACACCACTGCTCCACCCACTGGGCCTGCCAGCTAAGCCAGAGGTTGCAGAACTGCCCCACAAGGAACCCAGGTTGGGCTCAGAGAGTGTCTGTTCCCACCGCCGGGACTCTCCTAGAACACACCAGGGTCCCCCAGGACAAATGCCAGTGTCCACTCTGGAAAGAGGCCTCCAGGAGGGCCCCCACACTCCAAGGCCACAGGTACTGTCACAGCACAAGTCCACGGCCAGCTCCACAGAGAGAGGACGACTGTTCCTGCAGAGGAGGATGCTGTCCTCCCCCAGGGGGCCAGCAGACCAGGGGCCCGACTGGCCACCTCCTCCTGCGGGACTTGAACTGGCGTCCTCCATTGCTGAGCCTGTGTCCACTGCCTGAGGGAAGAGGCGCCCCAGGCTGGAGGGTGGCCATCTCCCCGAGTGAAGGCCTTCAGTGGGGCCCCTTGTCCCCGTGGCCATCTAGCCCTCAGGGAGGCCTTATAACCCACTGACCATACCTGGAGGCCAGACCAGGGCCACCGCCCGCACCCCTGCCTCCCACCCTCCACACACACACGCACACACCTTCAGACTTCGCAGCTGTTTTTATTAATAATATTATCTTCTCCTTTAAGCATCCCTTTAAGGGTGAAATGAAATTCAACCATTTACAGAGAAAATGATTTCAGAATGTACATATTGATTTTCCTTTACAAAAAAAATAATACTATTATTATTCTTGGTGTCCTTAAATTCCACACTTCCCAGGGTCCTGCCTTCTGCCTGGGCAAGTCCTGTGTCCCCACTCAGAATCCCACCTTTGCCCTAAAGCTCTCCCGCACCTGTCCCTAGAACCCTGTGACCCCAGGTGGACGAGGCCTGCTGGATGCCGACACAGAAGCCCACCCCAGTCTGGAGGTCTCGGGCCAGTGGTTGCTGGGGAGAGATCTGGATATGGTGACAGGGCAGTGGTGTCCTGCGGTTCACGTTGTTTGGTTTTCTTTCATATTGGGGAACAGCCCTGGGGATCCCCTGCCCCCCCAAATTCCCAGTGTACGCTGCCGTCATATGTGAAACTCTCACCCCACGTCCCGGCCCTGGCTCTCACGGCTGCCCCCTGCACCCAAGGCCTGGCCTCCACTTCTGGCCGAGTGTGCCCTCTGCATGGTGGGAGAAGCGAGGAGGGCCGCCCGGGCCTGAGTTTCTCCCGTTCTTCCCCGAGTCCAGGCCGTGCCTTGGGCCAGGGGCCGCAGCTGCCCTGGGAGGGGCCATCCCTGAAGCAGCTGAGCAGGGCTGGGGGGCCAGGAAGCCATCAGGAGGGAGGCCCTGGGCTGAGGCTCAGGAATGATGCAGAAGCCCCCAGAGACTGCCTGTCACAGGGCCAGCAGAGGTGGCCCCTGCCCCAACCGAAGCCTGACTTCTAGAGCCAAGACTCAGCCCCAAGAGGAACCAAGGAGAGAGGTTCTATGACTCCAAAGGAGGGGTTCCCTCGGGGGTGTCCACCAGATGGAGGCAGAGAGGAGCCATGGAGCCCTCTCAGCCTGCTCCATGCCTGCCCCGACCTGCTGAGGCCAGCTCCCCCACCATGTCTACATCTGGCACGTCCCCAGACAGAGCAGTGGCAGCAGAGACCCCTGTTCTCCCAGCCCATCAGGAACCCTCCAGTGAGACTCCCCCAAAACCCACCAGGTGTGGGGATCAGGAGGCACAGTGGGGCCAGAGGGGCTGAGGGGTACAGGGCTTGAAGCTTTCGGCCTCAGACCGAGACAATTCTCATTCCTCAGACTGATAGACAGACAGACAGACACCCTGCATCCCCTTCAGCTTTGTTTTCGGGGCTCTCCGTGGGCTTTCTGCCTCGGTCATCTGGGGGAGCCATGGGAAGTGTGGCCACAGGCTCCAGGTCCAGGACCGGGACTCCCACACCTACACACAAGCACCTACACACGGGGACCGTCGACACAGACGTGGACAATACACACCAGCATGCACCCATGCCCGTAAATACACACGCACACACAACACGGCCATTCCACAGCAGCCTCCGCACACGGGCATCACGGGGAACGGCTGAGGGGGGTCAGGGGAGGGGGGCGTGCCGCCCTCCCCCAGACCTGCAGGCTCTTGCTGTACCCCAGCCCTGTGCGGACAGGACAGTGGGAACGGCTCATTCTAGAAGCTCTGGACAACAGAGAGCAGGAACCTACGACTCAAACACTCATTTCTGCCCCTTCCCCAACATGCTGCTTCCCCACATCCATCCTAAGAGCCTCTTCTCCCAAGTCGAGGCCGGGCACCAGGAGCCCAGAGATTACATATCCCAGTCTCCCTGGAGGTTATTGAAGCCAAGTTGTGGCCAATGAGATGCCATGAAAATGACTGGATTCCTGGCTCCTGTCCTTAGTGGGAAAGGTGCCTTTCCCACCCCCTGATAGGGGGCTCCGGAGCAGCCCTGTATCCAGACTTGGAAGGTGTGGCTGGAGGAAGCAGAGCCGCCGTCTGGCCTCAACCATCTCCCTGTGGACAATGAACCACCCACAAGCTTGTCTTGCTTGAATTTCAGTCTCTTTACTTACAACAGCTTAGAACCTACTCCAACAAACACCTTCCCTCTCCCAAGGCAAACCGAGAGGAACGGGTTGACATATAACTGGCCTTAATGTCCCTTTTGGGCCCAGAAGAGCCTCATGGCCCCTTCCTGGACCCTAATCAGCCCTAAGGAGGGGCACAAGAGTGACTGCCCCAGGGACGGAGGCAGGCTGGGGCCACGGTGTGTGGAGGGAGAGGCCTCATGTGGGTCTCCCCTCCCTGGGACCCTCTACTAAGCTCCCCATCCCCCTAGCCCCTGCTCTCATCCCACCTGAGAACTGGACTGCGGGTCCCTGCGAGGCAGCCCACGGGCAGCAATATGAAAGGCAAGAGGGACCGCCAACCCAGGGGCCCAGCCTACCTCAGCCCGGAGGGGAGGCAGCGTGGGGCCTCAAATCCCTCCTGCCCAGAACTCCAAGGACACTGTGAAGCCCCTTAACGCACCTCTCAGCTCCATGCCATGCTCCCTACCCTCCCGCTAGGTACCCCCTCTTGCCCCTGGACCCAAACGCACTTATTTACAGAGCCCACGGCCTCCGGGGATGTCCTGATTTCTCTGCAGGTCCCAAGCCCCAGGAGGCCCAAGGCCGTCTTCTCTCCTCCAGGCTGCAGCCCCCACGTGGCTGCCTGGTGAGTCCCCACTGGCTCCCTTCCGTGCCACCTGCTGCACTCTCCAGGAGCACCTCCTGGCCACCGCCCTCTTGGCAGCAGAAGGACTGCGGAGTTGTCTGGCAGGAAGGATTTCCTTTGTTTTCTTTTTTGAGCTTAGAGACCTGATCTTGACGCACAAGGACTTGCACAGGGAAGATCACCGACCTACTCCTGGTCCTCCCAAGAAGCCCCAAAGCCGGCAGGTAGCCACCACGCCTCACTGCCATCTGCCCAGGCGATCGCACAGCCCTAGCCTTCGACCACGTCCGATTGGCCCCTGGCGGCGGGTGGCCTTCCCTCGCGGGGGCCCTTGCTCCGCGCGCCTTCCTCGGTGCTCTTGGGCTCCTGGTAGGGGTTGTCGAGCAGGTAGCGGAACTGGTCGTAGTTCTTGAGCAGGTACTTGGGGGCGTACATGTGCTCGCTGGGGTCGGCGGGCGGGTACTCCTGCTGCGTGCCGTCAAACCAGCCGCCGGTGCGGATCAAGCTCCGGATGTAATTGAGGTCCCGCTTGTCCTCGTAGTCACCCCAGCGGGGGAAGTCGCCGTTCTGGGCGGACACGAGCTTGAAGTAGATGCCCTCGGGCGTGAAGCACCAGGAGCAGTGCCAGCCGGCGAAGTGCAGGGGGCTGCCCAGCGACCACTGCACCAGGATGTGGCCGGTGCGGTTCTCGTACTGGCGGAAGTTGGGCATGGTGTAGTACTGGCGGCGGCGCAGGCGGATGCCGTCCAGCCCGTACACGGCCTGCAGCATGTCCACCGTGCAGCCCGACACCACCTCCAGGGTGCCCGGCTGCTTCCAGAAGAAGCCGTAGAGCGACTTGCGCATGTGGAAGGCGAAGGGCTCCGTCCAGCCGTCGTAGAGCTTGAGGAAGAGGACGCCGTCGCGCGCCGGGATCTCGTCGGCGTCGTCGATGATGAAGACGTCGTCGGGCCGCAGGTTGCGCAGGCGCGAGACGCCGTCCTGCGTGAGGAAGGTGCGCAGGTAGTCGTCGGCGATCCAGCCGTCCTGGCGGCCGCCGGGCGGGAAGTGGTCCAGGAAGACGTAGAGCACCTTGTGGCGGATGTACTCGAAGGTGCCGTTGGTCAGCATCTCGCGGAACTTGAGCGGCCGCGGCTCCCCGTAGGCCGTGAAGTTGGACTCGCACACCACGAAGGCGTCCACCACGTCGCCCAGCTCGTGGAAGCGCACGTCCAGCAGGTCGAACTCATGGTTGATGTTGATGGCGTTGATGACGCGCCGCGGCACCTCCCTGGGCACCAGCCGCTCCTTGGTGGGCAGGTTGGAGTACTGCACCACCGTGGGCACCCCGCAGCTGGGCCCGTGCCAGCCGGGCAGGCACACGCACTCCACCCACTTGCGCCTGGCGCCCTGCCTGCTCGCACGCTCCCGGGCCGTCAGCGTGTGCCGGGGAGGGCGCCGCGGGCCCCGGGTGGAGGGGCCGTACGCCCCCTCGGGTTTCTCCTCGGGCCGCCCTGAGGGTGGCTTATCCAGCATTTTGGTCCCTGGCTTAAAGCACACGCCCCCCGCTTTGGTGCGCACAAAATACTCGGTGGTGTCCTCGGGCAGCACAAAGTCCACCCGGTGGAGTTCCTCGGTGGCCTTGCTGGGGGACAAGGGCTGGAGCAGAGGCGAGTGGGAGTAGAGTGGGGTTCGCAGCAGGTCCGGGCCACCGGGCTCAGGGCTGGCCTGAGGTGTAACGGGGGCATTGTTCCAGAAGAAGCTGGACACGAGGTTAGGGCTGAGAGAGGCCAGTTCTCGGGGGAAGGTGACATAGGACAGGGTCTTAAAGAAGTGCAAGAAGGAGATGAGGCACAGGCCGGCCATACAGAACATGAAAAAGAGCTTGTAGCGTCTCATCTTCATCCTGTGAAAAAAAGGAGAGAGTGGACCATCAGGGGCAGCCTGGGGCTCTTCTCCTAGGGAGGACAGGTGAGGGCAGGGTGGAGGGGGAGCCTTTACTCTTGGCACCATGTTTGAGGCCATCCTGCATAGAGTCACCCACCTCCTGCCCCCTAAGGGTCCACGGCAGCACCCAAGCCCCTGGAAGTCCCAGGGTCAAGGAAACTGCCCCTTGCTCCCACAGCCCTTGTCCCCAGAGATCCCAAGCCACCAGGGCTACCCCTCAGCCCGCTGCTTCTCCGCCTGGCCCACCGTGACTGGACCAAATGCAAGGCTAGGATTTGCTCCAGAAGCAATGTGCAACCTGGGAACGCTCCATGGAAATGCTGTACTGCCCCAGGGAAGGGGCCAGCAGGCTAACCCCTACCCACTGGGGTCCCATCCTGCACTGCAGAGGGTGGGGGGCTGTTCCCTATCTATCTATTCATCCATCTGAAACAGGACAGAGACCCTCACCCTGGAGACCCTTTTCATAATTAAGCAGAAACCCCCACCATTTCTGTAATATATAAGTTCCTCTGAGCCTTGTCAGAAAGTTTTTGCACAAGGTATCAGCTATCAGCAGAATCTTGTGCAGAGGGCATTGTGGTTTGGACCTTCCTCCGTTTGTAAATGCCAAGTTTGCAGGAAAAAAAAAATTACTTTTATGTAGACTTCTTTAAAAATATAAAACTCCAAGCCTCCTGGCCATACACACCCCCAACTCCCCCCCACCCGCCACCCGGCTGCCACTGGGTATAAAGTTCAAAGAATTTCTAGACTTAAGGTCCAGAGGAGGATTTCAGACTCGAGCCGCACTCTGGACTGGCCGGTGCAGCCAATAGACTGCCTCTCTGTCCTACCTCATTTGGCAATTCCAGATGGGACAGTGGAGCCAAAGATGGCTTTTCCACCTCTCCAGGGTCTGGCTTCCCCGGGACGTTGGAGGACAATGCTTCCCTTTGGTGCACCACAGCGACTCTGCCTGTGGGGGAGGCACTGGGCAGCCACCCTGAAGCACAGTGGAACCCACGAGGAGCAGGCACCAGGACTAGGGAGCTGAACAGGTAGGATCGGCTCCTTTAGTGGTAGCCCGTCTGACTTCCCCCTGGAGGCCTGAGCAGGTGGAAGAGAGGCTGGTCACCTCTGAGGCCCTGAGTAACCTGCCAGCATTCAGGGCAAGGGAATTGGTCAGGGTGTCTAGGGGTCCTGTCAACTATTGAGAAGACCCAGGGAGTTGCCCAAGGAGTCCCTGTTGGGGGTCAGTGAGCGGAGGGGAGGCCGTGACTCCCTTCTTTGGTTTTGGAATTGTGCAGCTGGGATGGTACAGGAATTTTGCTCTGATCGTGTCTGTGTGCAAGTGTGTGAATGAGAGGGACAAGGGAAGGTTCCGACCTGACCCAAGGGCCCAAGTGACTGCAGTGTCCCCATCCGTGGTTCCGTGGTACCTCAGTCTGAGGCAGATTCCACCAACCCACGTCTAGGGGAAAGCTCCAGGTAGGGGGTTGTTACCCACCCATAAAGCTAAGAGGACTCTAAGTCCCCAAGAGGAGATCAGCCGGAGACCACAAAGTGAGTCTTGTCCTAATGTGAGACACCACACAGGGTGGAACATGGGAGGCACACAAAGGAAACTGAGTCTTTTGAAATGTGTGTTAGGAAACTATAAGGAAAGTTCTGAATGGTTACTGTGGGGCGAAGCTCACTCCACAAAGGTTACATACTTTGTGAATTAGAATGGCCCGCCCTTGAAGTGGAATGGCCACCAGAAGGATCTTTAGATAAAAGTGTCCTTGGTGAGGTCCGTTTAATAGTTGACAGAACCCCTGGTCACCAGACCAGTTCCCTTACACTGAATGCTGGCAAGAGACAGTGCAGAAACAGTTCCCTTTGGCTGAGAGCCTGTCTGGAAGGACAGTCTAAGTTGGTATTAGCCCGGGCTATAGTGGCCTCTAGGACTCAACAGAAGGGAACTCAACAGGAAAATCCTGACAAAGAAAAGACAGAAAGGAAACCAGTTTTTTCCATGAGCCACAAGAGAACCCACCACCTTATGTGCCATTCTACCCGACATTGCCAAGACCACTGAGACAGCAGGCTGTCCCCTCAGCCCCCTTGTCTCCAGAGGCAACAGACACCGGTCCTCAACACTGGCTACTCCATCCTCCTTCAATGTCCTCAGTGCCAGAGGCTTCCTCAGAGCCAGACTCCTCCACCCCAAGACCAAGGCAGAAAACTTGTCCCAAGACCAGAGCCATGACTCAGCTGAGCGCTCTCCCAATGGCCCTGCGAGAGAGTAGAGGACCTACTTACGTTGACCAGGAGGGAAACGTCTGAGGGGGACAATGTAGTTTTGCAGCCAGCCTTTCACCACCATTGATCTCTTGAACTGGAAAAATCCTACTCCCTCTTACATGGAGAAGCCTTGGGCCCTGGTTGATCTGATGTGATCCAGTACCCAGACCCACCTGCCCACCTGGGTTGGCGACAGAGCCCAGACGGTGATCCCAGCAGCTTGCAAGTGGCTAGAGGCACACGCTCCGGACGCACAAGGCAACATTCAGTCCTATGCCCAGGCCCAGTGCCCCAACAGAGACCCAGGGTGGGACCCCAGGAAGAGTAAGCACCTAAAGATACAGAGACATCAAGAGGCCCTTGTGGGCAACCTAAAGGAAGGGGAAATGAGAGCCCCAACCATGAACAAGCTCTCCGGAGCGCCCCCAAGGCTGAGGAAAGCCCCAGCCAGTCTAGGAACGACTGTGCAAGACCCTCCAACCCTCCCTCCCTTTGACCCTGAGGCACCAGACTGCCAGCGAGTAAAACCGAAAACGCCAAAAACTTTGCTAAAAAAAGAAAAAATGCCAATGAGCTGATGAAGTAGCCACCACAATTTTCATACTGAGACCAAGAAGAGGGGTCTCCTTGCAGCTGCCCTCACCACAAACCCAGAAGTCACCCAAAGGGAGGGTCCCACCAGGACAAAGCCAAGATATCCCCAGCGGGGAGGTGAGTGGTTTAAGACTGGAAAAGGACGGTGTCTCCCAGGCGGATGGGGAGGTTTTCTGATGGCCGCTTGGCCATCCCTGAGACTCCGGCCCCTGCCTTCATGAGGCAGGTCCAGGGGGAGCACACAGGGGCCAAACAGCATTCCTACATCCCTGGCTCTGGAGCACTTCCCAGGTGACGTGGGAACAGTGCAAAACTCGTGCCTGCAACAACCCCCCAGGGGCCAAGGCTCCCACCAGGAATCCAGGCTACAGGAGAAAGCACCTTTGAGGACTTGGGAGTGGACTTCACTGCACTGCCGTGCTCACGGGGTTAGAAATATCCTTTTTTTTTTTTTTTTGGTATTGAACTCAAGGGCACTTGACCACTGAGCCACCTCCCCAGCCCAATTTTTTGTATTTTATTTAGAGACAGGGTCTCGCCGAGTTGCTTAGCACCATGCTAAATTGCCGAGGCTGATCCTCCTGCCCCAGCTTCCCTTCGCCTCCTGAGCCACTGGAATTACAGGTATGTACCACTGTGCCTGGCTGTATGTTCTTTTGTTTTGTTTGTTTTGTTTTTGGTGCTGGGGATCCAACCGAGGGCCTTGTGCATGAAAGGTAATCACTCTACTCACTGGGCTCTATCCCCAGCCCTGTATGTTCTTCATCCGGCTGGTGCAAGCCTTTCCAGCCCACATTGAGGGGGATAGGGTGGTGGCCAGGGCGCTCCTCCAGAAAATTATTCCTAGATTTGGTATCCCCAAAACCATTGGCTCAGATGACGAGCCAACCTTTGTGGCAGAGGTCATATGATTATTGGCCAAGAGTTGAAATATCAGATGAAAGTTACATACTCCCTACAGAGTTCTGGTAAAGTAGAAAGGATGGATTGGACTTTAAAGGCTCAAACTGTGTCTGGAAGTTCACCTGCATTGGGATGAAATCCTCCCTACTGCTCCATTACGGGTTAGACCACTCCATCAAGAGGACTGGATGCTCTCCCTCTGAGCTAGTACATAGAGGACCCCCACTAATCAGGGGGTTACAGGGGACTTAAGGGAAAAGGAGAATTAACATTGAGGCAACAGCTTCAGGCTTTAGGGGGAACCTCACAGACTCCCAACCAGTGGGTCAGAGATTGCCAGTTAGTTTGGCTGCAGCTGCACCCTCCCTCAGGCCAAGAATGGAATAGTCAGCCCCTAGAACCTCTTTGGAAGGGTCCTGTCACTGTTATTTTGTGCACCCCAACTGCAGGAAAAGTTGCAGAGGTGTGTC